GTTTTTTGCAGCAATGCAATGCGAAAAACGCATATTGACGAGAGGTTGTCTGTGTGTGTCTGTGTGCCCGTGTGTGCGTCTATCACGGTTTTTTTTTTCGTTTCGATGGTAACTGATAAAGCTCATGTCAAAGAGTCGAAATAGCATTAAGACTTGTACATAAGTAATCCTCGAAAAACGGGATCCGAAAGTATTGCCGGTTGTTGGAATCTCTTAACACGAACCACCATTTTGGCTATCTCTGATCTTCGGTCCCTTATCAGAAAGTGAATAGGGGAAGAGGTTTCGGCTTCTGATTCTGATGCTTTTATAAAAAGCCTCAATAAAATCAATAAGCTTAAAAAAAAAATTAACCCTTTGTGGTTGTATGATGAAGTAGAAAAGGGCATCCAGAACGATATTGGAGATCGGATCGATGCCCTGGATCAGCTTGGAACAGATGCCCATTGTCATTCCTTCAATATGCTCATCAACAGCAGCGACATTTTTCTCCCGGACGCTACGCAATGCATGGTAAATGAGCTGTCGTAGCACTTTGTATGAATCATCGCCGAGGGTTAGTGCCAGCTGCATCGTTTCCACGTCCGACAAATTCTGGAAAATTTGGGAAAATGATCAAAAATTCAGCATGTCCCGTGTTGATCATAGAATAGTGAAGATTGCCAGAGTACAAATGCAGCCATATGTCTAATTTAGCGTGCATGCAACTGCCAAACCCACTGTCTGCTACGTAGTCTTGATCAGACGAAAAAAAATAATTAAAAGATTATAAGCGACCCCCCAAAATCAGCTAATTTTATTTGCCATTCTAAAAATTGAGACAAAAAAAACAGAGCAAAAATGTGGCCAAAAACTAGGTACTCCTCAGCCAGCATTAAAAATAATGACAGAATGCTCAACATAGCCTAGTATCCCGTCCTTGAATTTGTGCCCATCGTCTTCACCACACGAAAACACACATACACACACACACACACACACACTCGCACACACACACATGCACGCACACACGCACACACACACCAGACTTAAATGGCTGTCATCCTCGCGATTTTGTGAGAAGACATTTCAATGCATTTCGACGGTGTCAGAACCGGTTACGTATCACTTGTGATCTGTCAAAGAAACCAAAAAGCGTACAACGCATAAGATTCACCAGATTTTCGAATCCCCTTCAATACTTCTTATTTTTTTAATGCTTATAACCTATGTGCAAAATTTTCAGCAAAAAATTATATTTTTGACAAAAGTCCAATAGTCGGAAAATTTCTGGCAATGGCCCGTGTTCGCACCTCTGCAAAATGGGGGTCCGAACAGCAGATGTGAAGCTGATAGCTGAGTGAGCATTCTATCTTCGAGCAATTTATTGTGGAGTAAAATAATTAAAAAAGACAATGATAGAAGCGGATAGCAGAACCTACAAACTACAAACCTACAAATCTAAAAACTACAAAAACCTACAAACCCACAAAGAAAACCAGCAAAACCTACAAAATTCTATGAAAAATAAAAGGCAAAACGGCAAACCTCAACGAAATATAAATGATATTTATGCATTCGACTGTTCTCATCGATAGGACGCCCGATCATTCTCGCCAGGAAGAGCAGCACCCTCTACAATAGCAAAACAATGCATAAATCGAATAACAGCAAATAACAGTTTTGGCAAAGCGACTGATCAAAAGTATTCACATCGAAGAAAGAGAAAAAAGGCTATGAAGAATTCCCAGCTGGAATTCTCGCTCAAAGAAATTTCCAGCTGTGAAAGTTATGTGGGATTTTCTAAATATTCAAAGAAAATAATTTCGAGTAATTTCCCTTCCAGTACTTCTAAGATGGGGTGGTAATGTTTCAGCACTAGCCTATTTTATAAGAGCAAAACGGTAAAATAGCAACTGATGGAGGCATTCCCTGCGTCGGGAGGCGCCCTCGGTCCTTCCAATGCCCTCACAAACAGCCTAAAAAACTTATAACTGATATGAGTGGAACAATTAGCAATCAAAGCATCGGGATGCCCAGAATGCAGCTGATAAACTTTGCAAGCTTAACCGGCTGCTTTTATCAAAGCGAGAATCGTAGCTCAGAGAAATCGTAACCTTCAAAACCACCGGGTTGCTGACTGGCGAACGGGGTGCCCAAATGCGAAATATATCTGTGATAACACAGGCCAGTATGAGCTGTATGCAGCTATCTTGGTGCTCCAGGAACTCTTCTCGTGTTAAATATAAAAAAAGAGCGCCATAGCGTTGTCCTTCGTTATCCGCTTTCTCCGCTTCTTTTTTTAGCGCTTTATCTAGGTCCTGAAATGAAAGAAATAAACATACAACGCTGAAAAATTGCTTCTTTAAACTATTTCTAAAACAGGCTACCAAATTACACCAGATCTAGGCTTGCCCATATGCAAGATCTCAATGCCATTTCTGGGGTGTTTTCATTAAATTATCAAAATTCCTCCCTCAAAATATCAGAATTCCTCAAAACTCCCTCAAAATCAAAATATCAAAATCAAAAAAAAAAACCAAAAATATCAAAAAAAGAATCAAAAAACCCTCAATAAATCAAAAAAAAAGACAAAATATCAAAATTAAAATTAAATTCCTCCCCCTCCCTCCCCTCCGCCTCTCCCACTTCCGCTCAGTACACTAGCAACGCTAAACCAACTTTAAGCCCTTCGTTCTCTTCCAGTATCCTGTCAAGGATATTCACTGCTTATATCTCTTAAGTTTTCGTAATATTTCCGGAAATACTTCCAAAAATTATCTTAAAAATTGTTCAAAAATAGTTTTTTAGCGCCCAATACTTTTTATACCCGTTCGGTAAGGGGCTTTATCGTAGATCCAGAGAGAAATTCTTCGGATGAGGTGCTGGTGCTCAACACCTGCATACTATGGGCTTGTAAAAATTTGTCACGAAGTGGCTTCTATTGGGGAAAACCGTTCAGTTGGTAATCCCTTCAGGAAACGAAACGAATGCCAGGGTTCCGAGCAGGTTGCTCTGCAAGTCAAGCAGCACTGGCCAAAGCAACTTGAATAAAAACTGCCAGCTGTATAAATGAGAATTAGACTATGAATTAATATCAGTCCCCGGTATTCCGAGTCTCTCTTTTTCTTACGAAATTGAGCAGTTCATTAAAATGGGTACTATCAGCCCGTAGGAAAAAAAAAAGAAATAAAATCAACGAATCACCCTTAAAAAAAGTAAAATTCATAGGGCTGGGCAAGTGGGCCATGTTACTTGGTTTGCTAAAAATCTATGGATACTTAGTATCAGTAAGTGATATCACGCAAAAATAAAATGATTACTTCAACATACGTGCGCAACCGACTACCGAAAGACATCCAAGCTCAGGAGAGTACAGGAGCTCTGGGAATTTAAAAGAATGTCTCGCATGACTGCGTCCGAATCTCTCGGCAGTACCAGTAGTTCCACAGCGGTGTTTTGGGAGGTCTTGGCAAGAAAATAGAGCAGCAAAATTCCGAGATTTTTTTTTAAACGTTATGTCTGACTGAACTAATCTTGCCCAGGGTTACCATTCAGCTGTTAACCAACTTACTCTATCATCTACACAGTAGCTTTTCAGGTCGTGCATTATAGAAAGAAGCTGTTTTTATCAGTCCAATTAAAACACTGAGAAGCATAAATTATGCGCAGCTATTGAAGTTAGGCACGTTTTACCAAAATGAATCACTAAAACAGGTACTTTTTACTAAAACTATGTTTACTAAAACAAGTATATTTTATTAAAATTGGGTACGTTTCGCCAAAAAATTCCCAAAATTTAATAAATTGAAGTTAGGTATGTTTTACTAAACGGAACGCGCAATGCATGAACCACATAAGGTCTTAAACGAATGCTTTCCCTCCCCCTCCCCCGCGCCCTCTCTTTTCCTCATCTCTTCCCCTCCCCCAGGGCAATATGCCTGTAATTTCACGCTATCAGCACGGAATCCCCGTCTCCGGTCTGGAACAAATCTAATCTATCTCTGCGCAGTATAGGGCTCTCTGTTGCAAGTGCTGGACAAAAATATGCCTTGTTTATGTCAAATTAAGGTGCTCCAAAAGATAATCTCCAAAAGTGCTCCAAAAAAAACCGCAGCAAAACCACGTGAGGCCACAAAGTGTTTTCTGGCAAAGGCGAACGATTATCGAAGGAAGCTTGGGCATTTACGATATGACGGGTAACTCATGTGAACTCAATATGCTGCTGCAATATTCACCACTCAAAATGCCATCAGC